ATGTCTTAAGGGACGTCTACATTGGAAATAAATAGCAAGAAGTAGGAAGTAAGAGTAAGAAATTGACCAACCACAGTCGAATGTGAGAAGAATAATCAACTATGATTGGTCAATTTCTTATTCTTACTTCCTACTTCTTACTGTTTACTTCCAATGTAGACGTCCCTTGACCATAGGAACAAGCTGGAGTAAGAAGTAAAGAATGCGTATTCGACATCAGGGGTTCGATTGTGTATCTCAAATCGGAGTGAAAATGACAAAAGTGAGCAAATTTACTAACATATTTGTAACTTCATTGGACAATGCCTAGTGAATTTGCTCATTTTTGTAATTTTCACTCCGTTTCAAGATACACAATCGACCCCCAGGTAATAATTTCGTAAAATCTCACGATTATACCTATATTTTTTTAGTGTATGGTAACATCATTTGTATTTTATTTTTTATTGTATGTATATATTTGTAGATTTTTGCAAAATTCAATCAAAATCTAAAAATATATACATATAGTCAAAATCTACAAATACATACAATAAAAAATAATAAAATACAAACAATATTACCACACGTTAAAAAAATATGGATATAATCGTGAAATTTTACGAAATTATTATCTGATGTCGAATGCGCCTTCTTTACTTCTTACTCCAGCTTGTTCCTATGGTAAAGCATTGAGTTATAGCTTCTGCACACAGGACGCGGTAATGCTTGCCGCGCGGCGGAAGTCCGCGCGACAGCCAATCAATATGTTGTTTTTCCGTAAGAGCTAAAAGGTTATTACGGAAAGCAGCATATTGATTGGCTGTCGTGCGAACTTCCGCCGCGCGGCAAGCATTACCGCGTCCTGTGTGCAGAAGCTATAACTCAATGCTTTACCATAGGAACAAGCTGGAGTAAGAAGTAAAGAAGGCGCATTCGACATCAGATAATAATTTCGTAAAATTTCACGATTATATCCATATTTTTTTAACGTGTGGTAATATTGTTTGTATTTTATTATTTTTTATTGTATGTATTTGTAGATTTTGACTATATGTATATATTTTTAGATTTTGATTGAATTTTGCAAAAATCTACAAATATATACATACAATAAAAAATAAAATACAAATGATGTTACCATACACTAAAAAAATATAGGTATAATCGTGAGATTTTACGAAATTATTACCTGG